TCTCTACTGATAATTTGTTAGTCCTCAATAATGAAAAAACAGTCTATATACATATTCTACAAGCTTGGCATGCATGACTGCATTATTGTTCTATCTACAGAACAGTCTGTGTGTGTAAGAAAAAAAAAAAAAAAGGACAGATGAATTCTGGACCTGGCTACCTTATGCTTAAAATTGGGCATAGCTTAAGGCTCCATCAAGACCTGTGTTCTACCCGCATTCTGGAGTTAGGGCAGCCCATTCATTCCAAGTCCCATACCCTTTTCTAAAATTGTGGTCTCATGGGGCATTTTGCTGATGCATGGAGGTACCATTAAGTATTAATGGCACCCTTGCATGTCTCTCATGTGTTGGGAACACAAGGATGTGTGCCCGCACTCTTGACATGCAATAGTGTGAACCTAGCCTAGTGGTCTCCAAACTGTGACTCAGGGGCTGGATGCAGCCCTTTGCAGCTTTTTATCTGGCCCTTGGGCCATTATTTCCCCCCACTGACAGCACTGACAGCAACAGTGGGGGCATGGTTACTGCCACTGACAATGGGGCACTATTCCTCCCAATGACAACAAATCATGGGGCACTATTTCTCCTATTGACAGCAATGATGGGGCACTCTCACCCCCCCCCCTCCCCACTGACACCAATGATGGGGCACTCTTCCCCACCACTGACACCAGTTATGGGGCACTAATCCTCCCACTGACACCAGCGATGGGGTGCTATTCCTCCCCCAGGGGCGGACTGACCATTCGAGCACTCGGGCACTGCCCGAGGTCAGCAGGAGGCCCCATAAAATGCCCCTTGTACCTTTTATAGGCTTTTTTGGGTGTGTTTTGAGTGTGGGCAAGGACACAGGGGCCCCAGGATCCCCAATTGCCCAGGGGCCCCATGAGTTGTCAGTCCGCCCCTGTCCTCCCCCAATACCACAGATGGGGCATTGTTTACTCCCACTGATAGCAGGACATTTTCTATTCCCACTGGCCATAGTCTGGCCCCCCTGATGTCTGAAGGACAGTAAACTGGTCCTTTGCTTAGAAAGTTTGGAGACCCCTGACGTAGTCTAAATAAGAAGTATAATTACATTTTCACTATGCTGTCCCCTCCCATTCCAGAGCTCTGTTGACAGAGTTACACTTCTCATCCTGCAGAGAAGGGATGGAGTGTGTCAGGTCAGTTTATATTACTGAGTGCTGATTTCTAAGAGCACTGGTTCTAGCTTTGGTGCCCATTAGACTGCACAGTCATATTTAGGCACCCTGTAAATTGCTATAACAGGATAGTACAGGTACAGATATGAGGTTATTAGTACAATGTCTATCTAATTTCATGTCTATTTCTGTAATTTCAGTTTACACTTTAATCTGGAACTGACAATGCTCTTCCCTATCCGTATTAAATTTGGACATTGGTGATTTTTATATTTTTCAAATATGAACCTGTGATCTAGTACATTATACAGTACAGCACACTGTTCTTGCAGTTACTTCCAGAATGGACTGGCAGCTGAAGGTCATTGTGTATGAACAGCATGCAATTGCTTAGCACTAGGGAGGTTAAAGGGTCCTGATAATGTTATGGGTTTTCTTATTCCATGGCTGGATTGGTAGGCAGAAATGGCACAATCAATCAGAATCACCGCAGGGTGTCAGTGTTAATAACCTCTTCAGCGCAGGGGGGGGGGGGGGGGGGGGGGGGGAGGCTGAAATGAAAACCCTAATAATTAACCTTTTAAAAGACAAATAATAATGTCAGAACCATAGAGTCCATGTGATGGTCTGGAAATATACAGGACACTTACATGCTTAATGATAAACCTATTAGGCCAATTTTAATAAAATGAAAAACAAAAAACAGAGACAACTGCTCCTGGATCCCCAGGAGAAAGGAGGTGTATTATGGAATCAGAATGGATGAGTCTGGAAGGATGGCAGGTGTTCTAGGAATATAGTAGGCATTTGATTTATTAGAGGACCTGCCATTTCAAAAATATCTTCTACATCAAGTAGTTTTTTTCAGTTTCTGAATCTGTTTGTCCATTTTAAAAGCTATCTCTTTCCAGAGAAACTCCTGAGTTCTCATCCAAGGGGCAGGCCTAACCATTTTAATCCATTTCTCCTGCCTGACATTTCACTTTCTTACATTTGGAGAAAGACTGATCAGCAGCTTAAAGGAAATTATTTCTGGGAAAAACATGGAGGCTTCTATAACTAATGTCTAATTCTAAAAATGTTAGTTGCCTGTCTGTTATGCTTGACCCCAGAGCTGTGTCACCCATGAGGCCAATAGAGACTGATGCTACAGGCAGCATTTAAAGGCATGGTGGGGGCAGCACTGAGGCTGGAGTGAGTTTACCAGACAGTCTCTCCTCAGAACATTTTCATCTCCGTGTATATTTAGTGGCTGCTGGCGTTTTTGTTTTCTGTACTTTAAACCTCAAAACTGACTTGATAGTTTTAACAAAAACCTAAATCTGAGTCATAACAGTGCTCAGCATTGTTTTTGCAATCTAAAAAGGTGCTTGAAGCACTTGCTGACACACCTTGCGATATTTCAAAGAATATATTAGGCCAAATATAGCTTAAAAGGAGAAAGGATTAGCAAGTGTACTTCTACAATCAATAAGAGTGTGATTAAACACCTGCTGTATTCTAACGGTATTTAAAAGAACGGAACCTCATTTACTTAGCAACAGTATATAAAGACAGTCCTAATTTGATATTACTGTCCCACTTTCATCCCACTGGCCAGTGATTGATAGAAAAACTGTTGGTCGGCAAATTTGGGGCCCTTGAAGAAAGTATAACAGTTTCCAACAAAAAAAAACAAATGAACTTGTACAATGTTACCAGACCCAGGGTGTTCTCCTCTGGGTCTCTGGACACGTGCTCCAGTTCAGTTCAACTCCACAGACAGGGATAGGAATTGCTGTGATGTCGCTCTTTCGATACTGCTGAGACACAAGTAGGCACCCAAATCACACCTCACGCCCTATCTCTGAGGCAAAGTGCGTAGTCTCTTTGCCTCTCCCAGTTGTGGCCAGCTATGGCAGGGTTCTGGTCAACCAGCAGAAGCAGCACAGTCTTTTCCCCACACACCTGTCTGCTTCTAGCCAGTCCTCTTTCCTTTCCTCACCAGCCTTCAGAAGCATTTCTCCTTGTATTGTTACATCAACCAATCACCTCCAGGGTCAAATTAGACCCAGCCAAGATTGTACAGGAGACACTCCGTGGATGAGCATTGCAAAGTGGTCTCCTTAACCGCTTCCCGAGCACCTTATAGCAGATACACTGCTACAGGGCAGCACAGGTGAGCAAATCATGTAAAATATATATATATATATATATATATATATATATATATATGTGTGATTTTGCATTTCCGGGTAGGGCTGCATGCACCCTACCCACGCTGCCATTTGCGGCCGTGGCTGTCAATCACCGGGTCCCGGTTGGTGATTACTTGCCGGCGCCTGTTGATTGCCGAGGAAACAATACAGTTCTCCTACCTGTCAGCTCATGCACACTGCTTTGGATGGCTGTGCACAGCAGTGTGAGTACAGTGAAGCACACACAGAGCCTACTGTGAAACAGCAGCAGTTAACCCTTTGATTGACCCTGTTAACCCCTTCCTGCCCAGTGCCATTAGTACAGTTTTTTGGGGGTTTTTTTTTAGCACTGATCACTGTATTGGTGTCACTGGGAATGTCAGTAACATCAAGTCAGTTCCCCCCAGTGCCAGAATGCCCGTCGCAGTCCCTCTATAAGTCGCTGCTCGCCTCCATTACTAGTAAAAATAAAAATTCCTGTATCTATACCGCCATTTATAAATGCCATGATTTTCACATAAACCAATTTAATTTACACATAATGGGATTTTTTTTTAGCAAAGACATGTAGCAGAATACATTTTGGCCTAAATTTATGATGAAATTTGATTTTTTAAATTTTTTTACTGGACATGTTTAATAGCAGAAAGTCAAAAATATTGTTTTGTTTCTCAAAATTGTTGGTCTTTTTTTATAGTGTACAAAATAGAAAGTGCACAGGCGATCAAATACCACTGAAAGAAAGCTCAATTTGTGGGAAAAGGACGTAATTTCATTTGGGTGCAGCATTGCATGACCGCTCAATTGTCAGTTAAAGTAATGCAGAGCCATAACTCAAAAAATGGCCTGGTCATGAAGGGGGGTAAATCCTCAGGAGGACAAGTGGTTAAAGATGGCTGCTGCACTTCTGCACTAATACATATTTACTCTGACCTGTCCACACTGCAGAAGGATACTATAGAAGAAACAAAGGAGGAAGTTCTACAGCAATCATCAGCTACAGTTGGCGTTCTTTGTATATTTCTTCCAGATTTGCGCAGTTATCCATTGTAAAAGTTTGCCTCTGTACAGGATCTTCCTTTAATACAAACTAGACACTGCTGCTCTGCACAGGTTGACTGGTCTTGTATCCGCCCCATCCTGTAGTTTTCTAAAGGCAGCCTGTAGTGGGTGGGTCATCTGGACCCCTCCCACAGCTCTTCCACTTGCATGGTTTATGTGCAGCATTTAGTACAAAGGACACCTTTTAATTTTTCTGCCTTCATACCCGTCAAAGACATATCAAGAACAATCCTGTCCACAGTGCATGTTCAGCACTGAAAGCACAGTGTCATTGGTAACTACACTATATTGCCAAAAGTATTGGAACACCTGCCTTTACACGCACATGAACATGTCCATCGGATTGCCAGAGAAGCGTGATTCGTCACGCCAGAGAACATGTCTCCCCTGCTCTAGAGTCCAGTGGCGGCGTGCTTTACACCACTGCATCCAACGCTTTGCATTGCACTTGGTGATGGAAGGCTTGGATGCAGCTGCTCGACCATGGAATCCCATTCCATGAAGCTCTCTATGCACTGTTGTTGTGCTAATCTGAAGGCCACATGAAGTTTGGAGGTCTTTAGCTATTGACTCTGCAGACAGTTGGTGACCTCTGTGCACTTCAGCATTTCATTTTTCATGGCTGAATTGCTATTTTTCCCAGTCCCTTCCACTTTGTTATAATACCACTAACAGTTGGCCATGGAATATTTAGTAGCCAGGAAATGTCACAGATGGACTTATTGCACAGGTGGCAACCTATCACGGTACCACACTTGAATTCACTGAGCTCCTGAGAGTGACCCATTCTTTCACAAATGTTTGTAGAAGCAGTCTGCATGTCTAGGTGCTTGATTTTATATACAGTACCTCTTGGCCATGGAGGTGCTTGGAACACCTGAATCCAATGATTTGGAGGGGTGTCCCAATACTTTTGGCAATATAGTGTAAGATGCCATTGGTTGTGTAGCTGACAACTTCAAAGCAACCAATGACCCATCCCTTGCCCCATTCATCTTCCAACTGGGAGATTCCTGTCATTTCCCAAATATGGCCATTGCCATTTTTGGGTAAATATGTCAGCAAGCACCCCACATGTGTTTACATTCAGCTATGCTCCAAGGAATCTCCTGACTGGCAGCTGAAGGGGGCTGAGGATGAATCATTGGTTGCTAAGAAGCATACAGCCACTAGTGTCCTTGTAGCCATTGCCCTGTGCAGAAGGCTGTCACATTCATGACAGCTTCCCAGCAGATACATGTCCCATTCTGAGCATTGGCATCTACACCCACTCAGATTTGACCTTAATTATTGCTAGTTTGCTATATGTGAACGGATGATAATTCTTAAAGTCATTGGGTAACAGTGCAAACAAGAACTACCTAAACCTGTTGACTGAGGGCTAGTTCACACCACATGCAGTCCAGTGCGTTTTTTTTTCTTCTGGATCTAAAATGCATGGAAAATAGGTTATATACTATAGTTCCCAATGGCATAGTTCACACCAGTGCGGTCAGTTCCAGGGCGTTCCAGTTCCAGAAAAAAAAAAAAAAGTAGAACATGCTGCATATTTCCTGCACTGGACTGTACTGGAAAACACTAAAAAAAAAAACACACCGAACCCCAGTACAGAGAAAAAAAAAAACCTTAAAATATGGAAAAAGCATCTGTAATGCATCCAGAAACGCCTCAAAAACACAACAAAAATGCCTCGGAACACATCAAAATTGTGCATGCAGAACTCATCTGAAACGTATCTGTAGTGCATTTTTGTGGCGTGAACTGGCCCCGAGTCGGAATTTGGAAATAAACTGTAGTAAAGCTTTCCTGGATAAGGTGCAGCTCATTTTAAAGGGCCCATACTGCCAGAGTTATGTTGTAAATGTTTGATGGAAATTCCGCCCAAAGTGGATTTATATCCTTGGCTATTAAGGATTATATTCAAAGTGAAATTCCGGCCTAACACTATAGATTCCTAAAATTGTTCCCTTCTACCTATCCTGCCTACCCTATGTGTAAAAAACAAAACAAAAAAAAAGGTAAACTGAACTTTTTCCAGTCCGGTCACATGATACTACAGCTCCAGCTCCCGTGTCAGGGGGTGGCTGCTACAGCGGAGGGGAGGGAGTGCCATCAACAGGAGCCCATAGGTCAAGTCACGAAATTCCCAACCATTGTCAAGTGCTCCGCGACTCAGGGAGTTGTAGGTTGGAGTAAACGGCTACAATAAAGCCATTGGATTCATTGTGACAGGAGCACTCTTGTGATGCTCGGATCTATAATCAGCCCTGCAAAGTTTATCTACAGCTAGAAAAGGGGAAAACCTGCATTTGCTGCTGTTGTAATCCGTTTCCTTTATTTGTACAATTTACTCCATAGCAGGCAAAATGTATAAAACACCAATGCCAATGATTGTTTCCCACTTCTAACGCGAGCTTCCTCAAGGTTGCACCTGCTAGGGAATGAATTGCATCAATAAAAAAAATCAATGTAGTTATGGCCTTGAGTTTCCTGTCGTGGGGTTTAATGCACACTTTCAGATCTCATCTATAGATCTCACTGTACCAGGGACTCAGCTGAGTATCATTTACACACTTTTAATACGACTCAAACTTTACAATGGCATAAAATGACGGTTTACTGGCTAAAAAGATTTGAAATGTATTCTTACCTCCCCAGCATTTGTTTTAACCCATACACACAGAATTCTGAAAGTTCATACTGTATGTACATGAGTTTTGGGGGAACCAGCTGTAAAATCTTTGGGTGGAAGGTTTGTGGGAATTAGCACAGTGTGAATACGGCTGCACTAGAAGTCACACATCGAAATATCTATGGCCATGGTGAGCACCCATAAACTACCCCGCATGAGACAGACAAACTGCACTCCTAGTAGATGTAAAACCAATTCTGGATGATATCCTTTAACCACAAGCCTGAAGGGCACTTATACCCCCTTTCTATCCAGGCCAATTTCCAGCTTTCAGCACTGTCGCACTTTGAATGACAACTGCGCGGTCATGCAACACTGTACCCATATGAAATTCTTATTTTTTGTGACAGATAGAGCTTTATTTTGGTGTTATGTAATCACCTCTGGGTTTTTTTTTATTTTTTCTTAAACAAACCAAAAACCACTGAAAATGTTGAAAAAAAAAATGTGTTTTCTTAGTTTTTGTTATAACATTTTTTAAATAAGTGATTTTTCTCCTTCACTGACATACACTAATGAGGCTGCAGTGGTGGGCACTGATAGGCTGCACTGATGGACACTGATAGGTGGCACTGATGGGCATTGACAGACATCACTGATGGGCACTGAAAGGCAGCACTGACTGGCACTGTTAGGTGGCACTAATAGCCAGCCCTGATAGGCACTGATAGACGGCACTGATGCACACTGATAGGTGGCACTGACTGGCAGCACTAATAGGTGGCACTGACTGGCACTGATGGGTGACACTGAAAGGCAGCTCAGATGGGCACTGATATGTGGCATTGATGTGCACTGGTAGGCAATTAAATGTGGCACTGATGGACATGGCAGGTGGCGTGGATGAGCACTGACAGCTGGCACTGATGGACACTGACAGGTGACACTGCTGGGGCTACACAGATCATCAGGGCACACTGATCATCAGTGCCCTGATGATCAGCGTACATGTCCCCTCTGAGGGATGCCGATTACCGCCTCTCCTCTCCTCTCGTTTGCCAGGCATTAATACCATTAACTTCATTATAGGCATTTGTGGTGCAGTTTTAACGCTTCGAAAACACCTATGAAATGCCTCAAAAACTTGCATAGGGCGTTTGGGGATCATTTAAGGAGCATTAAACGCTCCCCAAACTCCTAACGCCTGTCAAACGCTATAGTGGCGTTTGGGAAGCAGTCAAGTGTGAACAAGCCCTTAGTTTAATCTGATTTCTTTTTTCATTGGATATCTTATTTTAAACCCAGTAACATCATCACTGGGTCTCTGTACTTCTCTATGCAACATAGGCAGATCACAGCTGGTAGGAGGGGCTGGTAGGAAGCTGATCACAGTTTCCTGAAAACTTCACAGCACCCTGGCTCAAGTGTGCTTGACTCTGATGCAAGTAGTGATCGGGCTACTGGGAGGATTTATGTAAATATCAAAAAGCCTTGATGGGAGGGTGCTTACCTGGAGGAGTGGGCTTTCCTAGGCAGATTGTATTTGTATGCATACCGCCTTAGGTTAACACCAACATGCCAAGCTTCTATGATTGAAAGAATTGAAATTAATAAAAATAAGTGGAGGGGGGAGGAGCAGGTACAGTAAGGCTGGGGAGGAAAGGACAAGATGATCGTGAATGTCCTCCAGCCAGGAAATGCGGTGGGTTCTGTCTGACTTGCTGCAGCTTCTAATGTACAATATGAGAAGCTCACAGTGTGCAGTGAAACTAGAATAAGCTATTTCAGTACAGGATTGATGTTTATGGTCTTTTTGTGAGTATGTATTTGTTACCTATTATTTAATCATTTATATCATGGTAATACACAAGGAAAGTGCCCCCTCTTGTTTTCTCTTAACAGTGGTTTTGTATTACATCTGTTGCTGGGTGACCTAACCCCTGCATGGGCCAAGCCATTTGGCTTCTGTTTCTATTTTTATAATTCAATAAAATAGATCAATTTAAAAAAAAAAAAAGTTAAAAGTGGTTGTAAACTTCAGAGACATGAAATATAGACAAATCATATCCCTCTCTAGTGTGTATTTGTCTCAATTAGGAGCACGAAGTGTAGTTTCTGTCTGCTGCTTCATTCCTCTGCTATCAACATGAATCACTTCTGACAAGTTTTCCAGACACCAAAAGAAAAATGGTGACGGGAGGGACCTCCCACAGATTGACAGCCTCAGCTCTGTTCCTGTGTGCTGTGTGAAGGGGGTGGATGTATATTCCATCCAATCAGCTCTCAGAACTCTCCTCACTGAGCTCTGCAGTGTTAGTTCAGAAAAAAGAGGGTGGAGAGCTTTTTATAAATTCATCACTTTAAATGGCTGTAGAGAAATGTTACAGATAAACAGGTACAACTTGTAGGAGGATTTACTTCATCTCTGTGTCACCTGAGGCCAGTCACTTCACTGGGTATATGGAAGGGTTTACAACTAGTTTAAGCAAGAAGGAATATCATCGGTGTGTAGCTGTTTGTTTCTCTTGTGGTTTCCTCTAGCACCTGATTCTCAGGAGACAGTGAGTGGTATACGCTTGGGAGCAAAAAACACAACTCCGCACCTAAGTGCCTTCAGTCTAGCTGCATTTACATAAAGAAGACATTTGGTTTTACGCACCTAAACACGTGTAAATGCAAGTATTTAACCATTGCCCAAAACACATATTTAAGGCGTACCATGAATCATACCTATCAGTTGCTTGTGCTCTCAACCAAACTGTCAAGTCATCAAATGGCTGGTGTCATAACTGATCACATGTGGTGCACCATAGCAACTAAGGAGCAGGGTCCTCCTAACCCTCTTGTATTGATCTGTATTGGCTCCCATTATATTGTAAAGCGCTAAGCAAACTGTTGGTGCGATATAAATCCTGTATAATAATAATAACCAGAGGCCAAGATGGCGGCTTCCTTATCTGTAAAGAGGAGGCGGGTTTAATTCCACTTTAACAGATCAGTTTGTCCTGTGTGCACAGGGTCTAAGGGGCTTATCATGACCCCGCCTAACACAAATGTCCGGTTTAGATAATGTGACAGTAAATGAAAGCATAATGTTGCGTTGTGAGGGGCGGTGGGCTATGTGCACAGAATTCATTGACTATCACTTTTCTTCAGCGGTGTCTATTCTGTATAATCCGATTCTTCACACTGCCTCTCTTTCAGGCCCCTCTGGAATTGGCAGTATGAAACGGCTGTTTTTAGCTAATTGTAGGATGTTTAAAATCCTGAATGCAAATGTTTTCATCAGCTAAGCGCGGCTGTTTTCTATGAAATTTGTGTCTCTCGGGAGCAGAACCGTGTGCGAACAGGAAAGTCTACACAAGTACAGTGTCAGTTCTGTGCCTCGGGCTGTGATGTTCCAGTTAGAATGAAGTGAGCATCTCTCCAGTATTTGGGACTCCCGTGTTAATCTGTAAAACAGAACAAAGCTTTTTACAAGGCTGTCTGCTATTCCTCAATAGGTGTAAAGTAGTTACTTAGAGAAGACCAAACGTCCTCAATTTTCTTGAGAGACTGCTTTATAGTAACAGATAAGGGTCCCTGCTCCTACTGCCCTCTGCTCAACCCTGTTCTTCTGTCATTAATAGTGTTTGGTGGTCTATTTACATACACAAAAGAGAACTTTGGCATAACTAGAACCCTCAGGGCTCTGGTGCAAAAAAACCATGAAGCCCCCCCTGACCACTAGCTGTGATTTTTCCCTCCGAGCCCAGTGGTGTAATGCCAGGGTCAGGTGCAAGTATGACCTTTGTGACCCCAGTAGTTCCGCTACTGCAAATATTTTATTTGTTTTTTTACAATATTGTTTTTGCATTTTTTCTTTTGGAGCCCCATTGAGGGGCTTTGGTGAGATTTCAGGAGTCTAAACAGACCTCTGATGTTTCACATTTGAGACCGAGAAAGGAGATTGATGACACAGCCCTCAGACTCCTTCTCTGCAGCCTCAGCTGCACACACTGAATGGACAGGAATAGCTCTGTACACGGCTTCCTGTTCATTCACAAACTGAAGTATATAAACCAAGTTTACATCACTTCAGTTATGAATGGACAGTCAATGATTGATACTAATCACCGACTCTCCATTCAGAAAAGGAAGGGTCCAGTAAATTACATATTCACCGGCCCCTTCCCCGCTCCCCATCTTGATAGCAACTGGCGGGAGAAGGGAGGGGGAACCTAGAAGTGCCGTGGGGGAGGAGGAGCGGGGAAGAGCTCAGGGGGAGAACCAAAGGGGGGGGGGGGGGGCAGACAAAGATCACAGGGGGTGATGCCACAGAGCACGGTGCAGCAGAAAGAAACTGGATGTTTATTTATTTATTATAGGTACTTATATAGCGTTGTCAAGTTACGCAGTGCTTTACATATATATTCAACATTCATATCAGTCCCTAACCCTCAAGGGGTGTACAATCTAAGGTCCCTAACTTACATTCATACATACACATACTAGGGACAATTTAGACAGGAGCCAATTGACCTACCAGCATGTATTTGGAGTGTGGAAGGAGAGCGGAATACTTCTCCTCTACCTCCCGCAGGCATTAAGCGGCTGCAGGAGGAACATGAAGAGATTGATTCCTCTATAAGCAGCTGACACACTGCTCCTCCTATTTTCACGGGCCCACTGCAGCATGAGGCCAGATTGCAATTTCGACCCCTGCGACCCCTGAAGGTACGCCCCTGATATGTTTGTAGATTTAGCAAAAAGTGGAGCTGCAACTGGCAACAACAGTAAATTAAACAAAGGGACAGGGATACCCGCTGCCACCAATGACCATTTCTTTGTTTATTTACTGTTGGTGGGAACCAGAGCTGTAAGATGATGGAAGCCAGCAACTCAATATGGCTGCGTTACACCTCATACCAAAAAAGAGGGATAACTGAGGCTGCACAAGGGACAGAGGGATTTGGTTTAAGTGTACTTTAAATGCGAATTCCCCTCACTTCCTGTAATCAGGATAGGAAAAGAGGATATGTATCCCAAAAGAATGCAGACAGCAATAACAACACGTTATTGTGAAAGCTAGAGCCCTGAACAGTGATTTATTATTGTCTTCCTGTTGAAGATTTTCACCACTTCCTGCCCGAAGATAACTTTTAACCAGGACAGGAAGTAAGAAGAAATCTTGTCATCAATGCTTTGAACATCAATAAAACCCCCCAAATAGGTTCAAAACAAAAAAGTTTTGGCTGGAGTCATAACTACATTTTACAGTATTTTGTTGGATGCTTATTAACTTTTAATTACCCAGCTGCTTGTTTTATTTCTTAATTACAACAGCAATATAGTCTACCAAATGTAATTCTTTGCTTGCCCCTTATAGGACAAAGATACTGAATTAAAATTCACGGAGCTCTGATTGGTAACATTTTCTTTCCTCAGAGGTCTGAATCTCATTTTTCTTCTACGACTCGTGGCTTTCCCATCACAGCCCCCGTTACATCACAACTCCCTTTCCCATCAGAGCCCCTCAACATTAAAGCCCTGCTTACATCACAACCCCCCTCCTCACACCACAGACCCTTCATATTATAGTGACCCCATATCACAGCTCCCCCTTACATCACAGCCCCTCATATCACAGCTTCCCTCTCTCACATCACAGCCCCTCCCTCACAGCTCCACCCCTCATAGCTCCACCCTCATAGCTCACATCACAGCCCCCCTTACATCAGAGACCCCCATATCAGAGCTGCCCCCTCTCACATCACAGCCCATCCAACTCACGGCTTCCTCTCTCACATCACAGCCCTCCCCCTTCTCACATCAGAGCTTCCCCCGCATCACAGCCCCCAGTATTACCCCCAAATCACAGCTCCCCCTCTCTGACATCAAAGCCCCTTAATCTTCCCCTTACCTAAACTCAATAGTGTGCAGGGCAGGAGGAATGGCAGAGTGCAATCCTTTTCTGAATGTACTTGTCGCCATCGCCGCTGAACTCACAG